GTTTTACAACAGTGGCACTATACAGTATTTGTCCTTTTGTGACTGAGATATTTCACTCAGCATAATGTCATCCAAGGTCACTCATTTTGAATAATACTGCATGAGCTCCTTGTTTTTCAATGCAGCATAGTATTCCATTGTGTGAATATACCATAGCTTCTCTATCCATTCGTTTGTTGATGTTGATGTGCACTTAGGTTGCTTTCAACTCTTTGCTATTGTGAGCAAAGCTGTGATGAACATGGGTGTGCATATATCTGCTTGGGTGGTGTTATGGTTTCTTTGGGATATATTCCAAGTAGTGGAATTGTTGGGTCAAATGGTATCTCTATTTGCAACATTTTGAGAAAGCGCCATACAGCCTTCCATTGTGGCTGCACCTTTTACACTCCCACCAACAGTTTACAGCCTCTGAAAATCTGATGGAGGGAAAGCTATAAGCCAGCTCCAACTTGACCAAGTTCAAGGTTCTTCTTGGTTTGGAAGGTGGGGGTTAAGTTTCACTTTAGAGATCAGCTTTCTTAAAGAATCATTCTACAATCTGACGTCATCTCCTCCCAGATCATGTCTGTCTTGTTTTTTCCTCCATCACAACAATGCTATATTAGCGTGTTCTCCTTTGAGTTTCACTATCATTAGACTGTGAGAGCAAACTTTGTACCTGGCATGTAAGAATGGTTCAATAAACACTAACTGTATAAACGTTGTTTCTGTCGGGGGCCATTGAGTCGAGAATGACTCACGGTGACCCTACGAACAACCAATCTGAACCCTGTGTTATCCACACATCCTCCTCATCTCCGACACACTTGTGTCCACTGCTGCAGTCACTGTGTCAGTCCAGCTCAATGAGGGTCTTCCTTTCTTTCGCTGACATTCTACCTTTCCAAGCATAATGTCCCTTTCCAAGGAATAGCTTCCTAACCATACTATTTTTAGACAAATCAATAAATATATCTTCCCCTGACTCTTTTCAGGAAGCCGTGTGAGACCTACCAAGTTGAGGTTGGGAATGGATTCTGCTGCCATCCATTTTTGCCCCCTCCTTCATTACTACGCCCTCTTCCCTGCTTATCTTTGAAGTTCATTGACTTAACTTTTGTCCAACAATTGTTAGCTTTATTTCAGTCAATGAAATGTAAAGATTCACTTTGCTTATAATATCTTACTGTGAGTGAACAGCTAAAGAGCAGGGGGAGGTTAGGGAAGACTGTATTCTCTTTTTGTCTATTAAAAATGCTCCATATTATGCTGAGTGAACTAACTCAGTCCCACAAGGACACATATTGTGTGAAACCATTATTGTAGAATGAGTAGGAGAATCCAAGGAACAGGAGGGTGGAAGCAGAGGGATAAGGCTGTGCAGGGGGTGGGGAGAATTAATCATAGAGTTGTACAATTTGATTGGGGAGGTGAAGGAAATCAGAAAAATCTGGTCTAAAAAACAATGTATTTAACTTTTATAAATAACTAGTATAATAATTTTTTTTCAAAAAAGGAATATTAAAAAGTGCAACAATGAATAAATGGAAATTCAAAGTCTCTGCAAATTTTCACTTTAAAATTAATTAATAAAAAAATTTAAAAGGGAATATTTTAAAAAGACATTTAAAAATGCCCCAGCTATATTTTGTTGGGTTAGATGCCAACACCATAATTCAAAGGCATCAATTATTCTGTCGATTATGTCTTGTTATCCATTATCCAACTTTCATATGCATAGGCCGTTATTGAAAAGACTATGGCTTGGAGAAGGTGCACCGTAGCCTTTATACTGACATCCTTGTTCTTCAGTACTTTGGAGGGGTCTTTAACAACAGGTTGTCCCAATACAGCAAATCTTTTGACTTCTTGACTCCTCTTATTATGGGTGTTGATTGTGGATCCACGTAAGTTGAAATCAATGACAACTTCAATCTCTTCTCCATCTAGCATGATGCTACCTATCAGTTTATCAGATGTCATAAAATCACAATCTGAGTATGGAACAGAGTGAGACACCATCAGAACCAAACCAGACAAACACCCCTTAGAGACCTGTGCAATTCTTGAGCTGAAGGAATATTGACAATAATATGGCCCACCAAGGGTTCACTTGCAATGTGCTTGATACATCAGTAACTTGTTTTTTGGTGGTTTGTTTGTTTATTTGTTTTTTAAGATTTGTTTTGGTTTTTGGTGGATTGTTTTCTTTTTGGTGTGTGTGTGTGTGTGTGTGTTTAGTAGTGGCATCCACTTCCTAAACAACATGCCTCTGGAAATTCTATAAACTTTGAGAAATGACGATAGCTGTAGAAAGGCTTCAGGTCTTTTGTTCTTAGAGTCACAATCAACAACAACTTGCCTTTAAAATGCCATTCAATACTGAAAAGTGTTTGGGTCAGTTTCCCCCTTGATATTGGGTTCATCTCAGAGACTAATATTCTCATCTATGCATCTTCAAAAATGAGAACTAACACCTACAAAGTACTTATACTGTATATGGTAACCCCTCACTTTATGTTCATGAACTGAATCTGATAGTATAACTATTTTATTTTTTTATAATTATTTTAAAATATCAAGATCCAACAATATGTCTCTTGCTCAAATTTAGGAGTCAGTAAAAAGATATGCTGAAGGAGCCTAAGATGGTCCAGTGCTGGGCTGCTAACCAAAAGATTGATGGTTCCACCCCACCTGCTACTCTATAGAAGAAAGAGGTGACAGGCTTTTCCCATCTATATTTACAGCGTGGGAACCCCTATAAGGTAGTCCTACTCTGTTCAATTCAGTGACTGGGGTAATGGGGATAGGTGTGTCAGAGACAATAAGATCAGCACAGGACAGAGCAGGGTTTAGGGCTGTCGTAAGGTCGCTATAAATTGCAGGTGACTGGATGGCACATAACACTATAAGTTACAGAACTGATGTAAAACCAGTACATTTTTGGTAAGAGATAACATTAGCTCGATGCACCACAAACCAACATAGTTGCAAAATCAGAGTATTGTTTTGAAATAATTCTCCTTTGCCTTTTATGCACCTTGTTTCTTACAAAATATTCTAATTATGAAACAATGATGGTAGAATAAGACTATCTTGTTAGGTCACCTACTCTATTAAAGAGTGCCTGTAAGAAGAAAGTAAAATGGTCAATAATTTCGTTTTACTTGTATCTACAATCAACCTCTATGGCAACAACAGTCCAGAAATAAAAAAAATGCATTGCACTGGGCACATTGGCTATTAAAGAGCTATTTAAATTGCTAAAGGGCAAGGATTCACATTTAAAGACTATGGGTTTTTCAGTTGTTTCCTCGTCATCTGACAGTAGGACAATGCATAAAGAAAACCAAATATTCACTACCTTTCAATTGTGGTGTTGGCAAAGAGTACCGACTATAACATGGACTGCTACAAGAACAAACAAATCTAGCCAAAAGAAAATACAACCAGGTGCTCCTCAGAGTCAAGAATG